ACATTTTCCATCTCACTTGGCTGCACCACTTCATCTCAAGCTTGCCAGTGGCTCTCAGTAGGGGCATCAGCCTGATACCGACCCCTCCACCACCCCACAGTGGAGGACATCAATGCACATGGTGTTTCACACAAAGATTTGCTTGAGCTAAAATTGCTTGCTTTTGCATTGCTATAAGAGGGTTTAGACACAGGAAAAGGCCACACAGTGTCTGTCACGGGGCTTTCCCAAACCGTAGAGACCCCAGAAACACCTTTCCAGCCTCCTCCTTCTGTACGTTGTTCAAAATGCAGTGTTTCAGGCTGGGCACCTTTATTCCCAGCACTCAGGTGGCTGACACAGGCAGAACTCGCATGTTTGTGGCCAGCCTGGGCTACGTAGTTATAGTACAGGGCTATGTAGTGAGACTCTGTCTCAAAAAGGGGGGGGGGTGCTTATCTTCCCTCCGAGTTCCTTTATATAAACCACAGGCATCTATCTACTTAAACAGCTCATAGAATAGTTCCCTGTGTCTCCAAGAAAGACAGGGATGACATCATCCTTTCACGTTCTTTCTTGACTTCTTTTTGGTACACGCTCCATCTCGTGAGTCACCTGCTTTGCTGTGGGTGTGGCCCATGGAAAGTGATTCATTCCCGTGTTTGGCTCCAAAGCCCCACTTGTTTTCTCCATCCCCCACTAAAGAGGACGTAGGTGTTGCTAGTTCCCCACTACTAAGCCTGACAAGTTTTCTGATAGCTTCTTGGACGCTGTTGAACATGGGCATGGCATGGCTGGTTCTCAAGGAAGCCACTCTCTGCGTTCATTGAAGTCCCAAAAAACTATTTTCCAGACCAGTGCTGTTGTCACCTGTCCCTGGCCATGAATAGCAGTCCCTGTGTATCAGACACTGAGTGACACCGAATGAGCTTTAGCTCCCGGCTGATCTGATAAAGTGTCCGTGGTAAGCCGTTGTGGTTTTATTTGCATTTCTCTGCTCACTGAGAGGTTAGGCTCTTGTGTTCTCTGTGGCCCTCACTTCAGTCTCATTTGCTACCCCTAACCTTCTCCACTTCCCTCTGAGTTCCTGAAATGTGGTTAGCTATTAGTCTGCATCATCCCAACCCCCCTGGGGCCTGGTGGACAACACTCTGATAGGTCCCTATGCAGCAATGCGTTCAGCACTCACAACCAACTTCAGCCAAGGTCCTTGACCTCCACTGGCAGTGGAGAACACAGATTCCTAGTGGCTAGGTAACATGCCCAAGGACACATAGCTGGGATGCAGCAGGTTTCAGGTCCTCTGCTCCCCACTGCAAGGGTCTGCAGCAGCTCTTGGAACACCCCCTGCCTTTCTTGTGAACCTCGTGTGCATCCAGGAGAGGAGTCAGGGCAAAGGGGGATGAGAAGAGCCCTTTGGTGCCGAGAGTGTGAGGACAAAGTGACAAGACACCTTCAGCACTGATGTCACTGTTCTCTCGGTGCAATAGCCACTGGCATGTCCTCAGACCATGGAGCAGGAGTGGGAAAAAGCCCTCAAAGCAGAAAGCCAGCATCCCCATTTGGTGCTATCCATTCCTCAGTATTGCTGCACCCTGCCCCCTACTTTAAAGAAAAACACAGGGCATCTCCAACTCCTGGAATATTGGGAAGGTGGCGTGGCTGGGTTGTGCTTTCTTTCTGCCAGATGTTACATCTCACAGGGGTGGGCTAGCTTTCCAGAAAACTGGTTGTGATTCGTTTAAGAAAGTTTTATGTAAGCCCGCGAGATGGCTTAGTGGGTAAAGGTGCTGAGCTGGATGACTCAAGTTCAGTACCTGGAACCCACGCAATGGAGAGACCCAACTCTTTCAGGGTGTCCTCTGACTCCATATGTGTGCTTTGCATGCTCATACGCACATACGCATGCGCACGCGTGCACACACGCGCGCGCGCGCACACACACACACACACACAAGACCTATGTAATTAAAACAAACATGCCTTATCCATCCTGAGCCTGCAGCTGGCTGATGCAACTGTTTCATAAGCACCAAGTCAATTTCCCAAGGGTTCTGAGAGCATGGAAACTTTATCTTTGGGATTCATAGATGAAGACCTGGGGCTCGGAGTAGTTAAGCCACCTGCCTGAGATCACACAGTCTGGGTTTGAACTGAGTCTGTGCCAGCTCCACAGTGCACGTCCCCAGCATGCTGCCCACTGCCTCTCGGCTCCATCCTGGTTAACTGTCAGTGGTGATAATGTACTGTTTTCTTTTGACACAAGTTCATTGGAGTAAAGCAATGGTCAGCAAGGCAAAGAGAACAAGTAGAGATGGCATCTTGGAAAGGTAAAGAGTGAATGACAGAGGTTCTAGAACATTCTAACCCAGCTAGATAGAGCAAATGAGCCACAAAGGCAGGATGTTAAGGATAGGAAGGGCTGTGGTTCAGGGAGAGGACTCAGCTTATGCAGAGGCAGCCAGACTCGGGGGCAACGGTGCTTGGAGAGGGTATTTGTGCTGGTTGGTTTCTATCAACTTGCCACAAGCTAGTGTTATTTGGGAAGAGGGAACCTCAACGTGGAGAATGCCTCCATCAGACTGGTCTGATGGCAACCTGTGGGACATTTCACTGATTGATGATTTATGTGGGAAACTCAGCCCACTATGGATAATGCTATCCCTAAGCAGGTTGGGTTGTATAATAAAGCAGGCTGAGCAAGCCATGAGGAGCAAGCCAGTAAGCCCCCAAGGCCTCTGCTTCTGCTCCTGCCTCCAGGTTCCTGCCCTGACTTCTCTCAGGGATGGAGTGTGACCTGAGAGCTATAAAATGAAATAAACCCTTTATTCCCTAGTCGCCCTGGCCATGGTGTTTATTACAGCAGCAGAAGGCAGATGAGAACAGCAGGCCATTCAGACAGCTGCCGGGGCTCAGCAGGGTCCATGTTCGCACCTGCACCACACTGGCTGCTCTCGGCTTTGAGGGTTCAGGGGTAGAGAACCCCCTGAAACTTCGAGCCAAGGTGAGTCTCTAAGAGATGATCAAGGTGGCTGCAGGTTTCTGGTAGGTGCCCAGGAAAGCATCAGAGCCAGAGTTCTAGAGAGGAGACCAGGCCAGATGCCACCGGCTTCCCTGAGCTTGCGTCTTGCCCTATCCAATCACTGTGGCAGGGCACACTGAGGCAAGTGGGTGCTTGGCTTGGCCAGGTCTGGCTCAGTACCTGCTGTGGACCGTGCAGAGGCGCTTCAGTTCAGGAAGCATGCCATGAGGAGGGCCACCTATCTGGGCAGGCAGAGCAGCTGCTGTCTGCCGGTGGCTGGTGCAAAGCTGTCATATGAAGAAGGGGAGAAGAGGCTCTTGACAAAAGGCAGGCTTTCTACTTTCCCTGTGGCTGAGATGTGACACAGAGTTCTCTACTGTGCTGGTGCTGGCGTCACAGATTTGACACTGTAAAATAAGGCCCACGTGGAGCCACCCCCTGTGGTCAGGAGTCACCTCTGCAGACTGTAATATCAGCATGGCTTTGTTCAGTCTGACGCTATGACAAAACACCTGGGACCGGGAAATGAGAAGGAATCTTTATTCAGCTGAGGAACGTGTGTCATCAGAGCATGGTGGAGGGCTGTGCAGGGGGAGGCACAGCTTGGATCTCTTCCCCTTTCCTTCCCTCCCTTCCTGCCCCTTCCTCCCTCATCTTTCTTTTCCGATGCTGGGGCCAGAAACCAGGGACTCCCCTACGTGTAGGCAGATGCTGAACACTGAGTTCCATTCCAGCCGTGCTCTATTTAAAACTCACTAATGCCAGGATGGGCCCCAGCCTCATGCCCTCAGCTAATCCTTATCTCCTCCATTCTATTCAAGTGTGATTTGGGTGTTAGGTTCTGACACACAAAGCTGGAGGGATGCAGCCCAACCATAACACAGGACTTGGGAGGGCAGGGGCCACCCAAGATTAGTGTTACTCCAAGCAGTAAGTTGACATTTTCCATAATGTTTTATTCTAATACTGATGTTAGAGCAATGACTATAGTTACAATAGTTAGAAGGCAGAAGGCTGAAGCAGGAAGTTTGCAGGATCAAAACCAGCTTTGGTTACATAGTTACAACTTCTAGGGGGTAGGGAAGGAAAGGGGAGGGATACACCCTTGTGGAAAAAGTGGACATCCATGAGCGGTAATTTTTAGACTGGGGCTGGAGTTAAATGCTTAGGGCCATTTACAGAAAAACACTAAATAAGCAATTTTGAGGGTGAGCCGTTTTGGAAGCATCTTGGGCACAGTGGTCTGGGCTTCTCTCTCCTTCTGCTCTAGCTCAGTCAGCTCTGCTGTGTGGCAAAGCTTACACCCAGCTTTCTTTGCACATCACCTGGTTGGATTGTTACAAAGCTCTGAACAGGCCTTCATTGCTTCATTTTATGAAGCCCAGAAACAGCAAGAGGCCAGCCTGGAGCACACAGATGGCAATCTGAACCTTGGTCCCCTACACTGTTTTTTGATGATGGTCATGCAGGCCAGTCAGTGCTACTGGATCTAGGGGATCCCCAGGTGAAGCATTGTCTTATTGTGGGGTCAGGGATGGTGTCTGGGAAAAGCCAGGTGGCTGACCTAATCTGTGCATGGGCTGTCTTCCCTCAAGGTCCTGGTTCCAGCTCCATACTGGAGGAGCAGGCCTGCGTGCTCCTGGGCACATGGTCCTCCTCAGTTAGCACTTCCACAGGCAAAGGGCAGGAGGAGCCTGGTGTTGACAGTATCATCACTTCCTTGGCCCTACAATGGCCTTTGTCCATCTCAGCCAGTCAGGGGCTCCGGGCAGCTTTGTTTGTTTTCCTGGTGTGCCTGTGTAGGCTAGCCGGGCCTCCTATTGGAATAAGAAGACCCCCACACACTGTGGGCTAACCTTATCTTTGGTATCCAACAGGGGGCTTCTTTGTGAGCCTTGGGCTGGCCCTTTGATGTGGCAGGGCCAGATCCTGGGTGGGGAGGCTGCTCAGTGCATGGCAATAGCTGGCTCACCTCACACACCACACACTTGTCTTGCAGGTCTGGGACACAGCATGCCACAGGGCCTGGCTGCTCCCTTGCTCCTGCTGATCCTCCAGGGAGGTAAGTTCCAGTCCCATGGCAGCAGGGATGGGGGGTGGGCCCATCTCCTCCCACAAGATGGAGCAGGGGCCAGCCCCGTGGCTCCTGGTCATAGCTGCTGGCTACTGACTCACGATCTACAGACTCTGTCTACCTGACACCAAGCTGAATGCCCCGTTTTCCATTGTCCAGAACCTAGGGAACCAAAGCGCTCCAGTAAACAGAAAGGCCCTCCGCCATCACGGGAAGGAAGTCCTGGCCTTGGTCTACCCTCCACTCCTTTGTACAAGACTCTCACTTGGGTCATGAACCTTCAGTAGGCTGGAGGAAAAGGAGAGGCAGATAGAGGAGCCAAACTTTGACAGCAGTCCCAAGGGGAGGCATCGGAGTTGCAGGTCAAGAGTCCTGTTGAGGGCCTTCTCCCCATCAAGAGTCAGGAAACGAGAGGCCATCCAGGGTGAGGGGAACTTGACCTTCTGCAGACTCAGCAACACTTGCTCTGGGTTTTACCGAAATATCCAGCACTTTAAATAGCTCCTGCAGGAAACAGACTCGGCTTTTGATTTCCCTTTCTGCTGGCAGCGCCCAGCCTCTGCCTGCTCTGGAACCCCCTGTAGTGCCTGCACTGGGGGCAGGGGGTAAGAGTGGGGCTTGGGTAACAGACCCCTGTCACACACTAAGGTTAGAGTGTCACCTCCCGTTCTTCCTGTGGAGTCCGGTTAGGTTGCCATCAGTGAAGGAGACAGAGGATGCAAACCCTGTGGCCACTCTGGGAGTGGCTGCTTGACTCTTGGGTCTGCCTCAGTGCCATGGCACTAAGACAAACTGTGAGGAACAGACACAGGGGCAGGGCGATGGCTTCTGCGAAGTGCCTGTCATTCCAGTATCAGGACCCACAGAAGGGGCTGGGTGCACCCGAGCGTATCTATTATCTCAGTATTGGGGAGGAGGAGGCAGATCCCAGGGGTATGCTGGCTAGGCTGTTCTTTGGCCAAATGGGTGAGCTCCAGGCTGGGTGGGAGAGCATATCTCAAAACAAAACACAAAACAGAAACAGAAAGATAAGGTCAAGAAAGACTAAGGAAAACCTGTCTTCAATTTGCATGTGCACATGCATGTTCACAAACCCACATACATGTCCATATGTGTGCCTCTTGTAGTCTCAGGGCCGGGCACTCAGGGCCATGGTGCAGTGTACTCTATAGCTGGTGAAGCTCGGCATCTACTTCCAGTGTGGTGCTGGGCCTCTTGTTTTTGTGGTGGGAGGCAGAATGGGAGCACAAAGGAGTCTGGCACCTCTAGCCACCGAAACACCACTAGACCCCTGTAGGAGCTTGGAGACTCTGGCATCCTTGGAGGCCCCACCTCCTCACATGCTCTGTGGCCAGAGCGTCTGATGGGACGCATCCATCCTAATTTTAGCAGGGCCTCAGACACCCGCTGTGCTGCTGTTCATTCATTCATTCATTCATTCATTCATTCATCTTTGGGGTTTTGAGACAAGGTTTCAGTATGTTGTCCTTGCCGCTGTGTCAAGTGGGTGCTCTATGTGGCAGCATAAGCGATAGGGTCTTGACCTCGCCTGAATGTGGGTGTGGAGGCTGGGGACCTGAATAGACAGCTTAGGGATAGCATGGAGGCAGTTTTAACCCTGAGGCCATGGTCACCCAGTGGGGGAGCGGCTGCATCCTGCACACTGCAGTAACCTCTACCATCCAGTGCCATCCAGTTGTGGGGTGCTGCCTGGGTGCCATCCAGTTGTGGGGTGCTGCCTGGCTTGTTCACTCACTCTGGCCTAAGCAGCCACCTCTCAGCAGTCTGTGCGCTCCGCTTTTCCTTCCCCAGTGACTTGCCCCATCCCAAGTTAGGGCTACAGCACAGTGGTAGTAGATCCTTGTGCAGTGTGCACTAAATCCTGGTACTATACACTGTTCCCTCCCTCCCTCCCTCCTCCCCCTTCCCTCCCCCCTTCCGTCCCTCCCCTTCCCTCCCTTCCTCCCTCCCTCCCTTCCATTCCCTCCCCCCTCCTTCCCTCCCTCCCTCTCTCCCTCCCTTTCTATGTGTATGTGCTGTGCATGTTGCCAAAGGGGACAGCTTGCAGTAGTCAGTTCTCACCTTTCCCCACGTGAGTTCCAGGGATGGAAATCAATTTGTTAGATGTGGCAGTAAGCACCTTTACCCACTGAGCCATCCCATTGGCCCAGTCTCCACACATTTTCGTAGAAGCTACCTAAGACCCGTGAGAAAGATTCTGGGGTCAGCCTGGGAGAGAATGCTGGGACTCACCAGGAGAGCCTGCCAGGCATATGGTTGGGAAGATGCTGCCCCCAGGGTACAGAGTTCAGCAGCCCAGGAAAGCCATCTGCCCTTGGAGCCTTGGTGCTGTCCTTTACAGCCCAGGTCTAGCCTTGGAATCTGGCTTAGAACCCAGACATGAAGTCTACTGTTTCAGGGTCTTCATGTGTCGGGAAGCAGAGGGAAGAAGCCACTTATTAAAAGCACATTTCCGGTGTGTGGGGAGAAGATATGGGTGCTGGCACGCAGTTTTACAAAGCAAAATCCAAAATGGCTCTGCTCATTTGGCCAAACATTGAACCAAAACTTGGACAGTGACTGAATACTGGATGCTGAGAGTAGTCCCTCTGCCTTGTCCCCACTTACCTTCCTTTTTTTTTTTAGAGTTCTCTTTGTTCCCCTAGATATCTTCCATAGCTACATACCTGACAGAGGGGGTAATATCTAGAATTCTCTATTAGTTTGGTTTAGTAATTAGTTAGATACTGTTTCTTCTCTTTTGAGATGGTCTGGCTGTGTAGCCCGAGCTGGACTTGAATTAGCAACCCACCTGCCTCCGTTCCCCAAATGCTGGGAAGCCAGATGTGCCTGTTGCAGCTGCTGTTTGGAAAGTGAAACAAATGGCTGTGGTGGTGGTGGAGACGGTGAGGGTAGGGGTGACTCCTCCAGCCAGCTCCCGCTGCGACATTTGCTTTGGTCACGTCTTGGCAGTCGTGCTGTCATTGGCCAGCTCTCCTATAAATCACAAAAGTCTTCCCCACTCTTTCACCATCCTCCCTAAGCCCCTCCCCTTGTTGAGACGGTGGGCTCAGACAATGGCCCGTGCCACTCTCTCCGACCTTGGGGATCTGTCCATCAGCCTATGGGGAGTTCAGAGTGTCTTACCCTCCGAAGGGACAGTGGCCTGGGGACCAAATATGGGGTTATTAGAAGAACCTCATCTACTATGACCAGTCTTGAAATGTTGGAACTCACACATGGAATTCCAAATGACAAGAGTCCCTGTGTTCCAGGCTCTCACCCCAGCCTGTGACTCTGCCCTAACTTGTCCTCAGACTCAGACAGCTTGCCCAGGCCTTCTTACTATCTCTCACCCAAAAAGGTCTCTCTGCTATCCCTCCAGCTCTGGGCTGCCTGGACCTCACCTGCTACACTGACTACCTCTGGACCATCACCTGTGTCCTGGAGACGTGGGACCTCCACCCCAACACACTCACCCTCACCTGGTGAGTAGCTATTGATGGAAGTTTCTGTCCTTCCTGGTCTTGCTGCCCTTTAGTTCCAAATAAACACACTAATGCTTATAATAATTGTAAACTGGCCTATGGCTCAGGCTTCTTATTGGCAGGCTCTCTTAATTAATTATCAGCCCATTTCTATTAATCTATGTATCTTCACGTGGTCTTGGCTTACCAGAGAATGTCCAGGCACCCCATTCACTCTCTGTTCCTCTTCCCAGAATTTTCCTAGTCTGGTAGCTCCTCCTATACTTCCTGTCTGGCTACATCCTGACTGCCCATTGAACACAACAGCTTTATTCATCAACCAATAAGAGAAACATATTCACAGCATATAGAAGGACATCCCTCATCAAGTAGCCAAGTCTCCCAGGCCGAGGAACTTCTCAGAGAGGGTGGCGGGATGAGACAGAGCCCTGGGCTGAGCTGACCTGTGGCATGCTCACCAGGAAGCTTAGTTACAAACAAGGGCCTGCTCCTTCCACCAACAATGTCACTCACAGAGACTGTGAGCCGAGAGCCAGGTCCCCACCTTACAGATGACCAAGCTCACAGGACTCACCTGCAACACACAGATAGGAGGTCAAAGGCTGACCACACCCACCCTGAGGGTTACCCCAAGGGTCGTACTCTCTTGCCCTTATAGGCCTGCCTGGGTTAGCAGCCGTGGGATGGCTAGTCCCTAGTGATCATCTAAGCACTGAGGAGGTGCTGTGTCCTCACCATGAATGACCTAGAAATTGTTGCTACCTTGTTCCAGATGAGGAAGCTGAAGTTCAGAGAGGTTTGGCCATTGGTCCAAAGTCACATAGTCGGCATGCTTCTTAGGATAGAGATCACTTGCCCTTCCTGTGTTCATCCAGACATGTTGTAGGGGTTGAGGACCCAAACAAGACTCAAGACTGCAGAGTGGGGAGCCAGGGATGTTCAGCTGAGCTGGTCAGAGCATCCACGGCAGCTGATGCAGCATGTGCGAAGGCCTTGGGAGCAAGAGCTGTGAGTGTAGTTCAGCGGCTGTGACCTGAGTAAGGGAGCCAGAGTGAGGGAAAATGATAAACTATGAGGTCAGTGGCTGTGTAAGGGCCAGCTGTGCTGCACGGGGAAGGGCAGCAGGTTTTGGGGCGCTTTGCAGGCCCTTCTGGCAGCTGCGAGAGAGGGATGGAGTTCAGAGATAGTGGGTGAGGGAGTAATACCTTCAGACAGCATTATAGTGGTCCAGGCCTGGAGGCTTGCATGAACAATGTTGTTTGTCAAGGTTTGTATTACAGAAAGCTCAGCAAAGAACTAAATAAGTCTGCATATCCACATTAGTCCTGGAGAGGGGTTGTGTTCAGACATTGAACACACGCGGAAGGAAGAAAGTAAACTTCCGAGGATTTCTATATATACTCTAAAACCCATCCCTTCTGCACAGTGGGAGTTAAAGAGACAAGGCATTTACCACTACTCCACCTGACCAGTGTCCCTGGAAGTTCTGTAGAACAGAGAATGAAGCTTACACGCCTCTAAGTACCGACCTGAGGGTGCTCAGTGGTGGTGGAAAGGAGGGAGGAACTTGCCTAGGCTTCTTAGAGGACAGCAGACTACTCATTGTAATAGATAGAGACAGGGTTAGGCCCCAGTTTCCAAAGCTGAGAGCTCTGCCCTGGCCAAGGTACTGAGTGACTTGTCCTCTGAGGTGTGCAGACAGTGTCTGGACTCAGATCCTTCTGGAAGCCACAGGGAGGGGACTGTCCCTGGGAAAGGGTCGGTTGGACCATGATTCCCAGTCCTACCTCCAGCCCTCTCTCATGCTTTGAGTTCCTGCCCTGCCCTGGGCACTGAACTCCGCTGTCCCCGGTGACCAGTCACTCTGTCCCTGAAGGCAAGATGAATACGAGGAGCTGCAGGACAAGGAAACCTCTTGCAGCCTGCACAGGTCGAGCCACAACGCCACACATGTGTGGTACACGTGCCACATGCCCTTGTCTGGATTCATGGCCGATGATGTTTTCGTTGTCAACACGATGGACCACTCTGGCAACAACTCCCAGGAGTGTGGCAGCTTTGTCCTGGCTGAGAGCAGTGAGTACCACGAACCCAAGCTGACGAGGACCCAGGGCCTTTCTGTGACCTCAAAGCAAGCTCTTCTCATGCCATCAAAATCTACTGTCCTTTGAGTGTCCTTTTTAGCTAAGGTGTGATAGTTTGAGGGGGAGTTTGGTCTAAATGTCCAAGAGGAGCCTCAGAGACTTGGAAAGACGTATGGTGGGACCCAGCTTAGCCCTCCCTGTCTGCCTGACCCTGGACAACGATTACCTCGTGAAGACCCATTAAACATGACCTCCTAGGGTTGTGCTTCTGGTAATGAGCACCATTCAGCTAACATGGAACTTCCCAGCTGGATGGGAGGGGCCTAAGTTTAGGAGGGCCCTAGGGTGGACCTGGCTGCAGCTGTCCCCAGAGCCTACGCTGGGCTAAGGAGGGATCTGGGGCAGCAGCTTTGGTACACGGCAGAGTGTGTGTCTGCTTCTATTTATGCGTCTCTACGTGGCATGGGACCCTTTCTTTAAGAAAGAAATTGAAGACAGCTGAGTGAGGGCACCTTGCTTAGGCATGTTTTACTTTGGGCACTAACATTAAATCTTAAGAAACTTCCTTCAGCTGCCTGGAGTTCCAGATTTTGCTTTTCTTTTGCTTTTCTCCTAAAAAAGTCTTGTGTGTATTCCTGCCCCCAGCTGGTCTGGGCTGGGCCTGAGTCCTGGCTCCAGACTTTAACGTTGAGAGTGCTCTCTCTCTCTCTTTCCCCACAGTCCCCAGGCCTGCTTCATTATTTCAGGTTTCACCCAGATTTAGTCCAAGGGAACAGGGGCTGTGGCCAGGGAGGGCTTCGTTCAAAGCCTCCCAGGGCCTTTGGGGAATGTCAGGGGGGACTCTGCTTCCTGCAGATTCTTACCCCTTGTCGTCTTTCTGGGTCTTCCTCCAAGTCAAGCCAGCTCCCCCTTTCAATGTGACCGTGACCTTCTCTGGACGCTATGTTATCTCCTGGCACTCTGATTATGAAGACCCCGCCTTCTACATGCTGAGGGGCAAGCTACAGTACGAGCTGCAGTTTCGGAACCTCAGAGACCCCTATGCTGTGGTGAGGTGGCAGGATTTTGGGGTGGGAGGGGCAAGGGTGTGCAGGCAGGTCCCAGCATAGTGGGAATAGGACTTTACACAACCTCTAGTATGTAACTCTCTCCATCCCAGCATAGTAGGAATAGTATGTAACTCCCTCCTACCTCCTCCCTGGGCCAGGGCACCCCTCACTATGTCTCTACCTTGACTTCTCCACTAAGGTCCACCTCAGTTACAGTGGGGCAAGTTTGGGAACATTCCACTTGCTTCAAATGTTAAGGCTACTTAAGAGGAAAGTTCCAGAATGGCCCACTTTTAGAGCTTTGGGCTTCTAGAATTATATATTATAATGGTCCTGGCTGGAGATTTACATAAAGGGCATCATCTAGAATGTTCCCAGGGAGACTTCTGTAGCTGTCCACTGACAAGATGGTTTAATTAGGGACTTCCAAGAAGGTACACTGTTGAGGATGTCCTCTGTCATTGGAGACATGGAGCCCAGGGGGGTCTGTGAAGCTTCTGGTTAGTGATGTGCAGGGGTGCCCATAGTTACTCTCAGGAAACTGTGAGTTGGGAGTGTGTCCCCTGCCACAGAGAGGGAGCCCTTTTTCCAGGCAGCCTTAGTTAGGGATGCATGGTTCCTTCGGTGCCTGCCTGGTGTTCCTCCAGTGGGAGGACTGTGCATCTCATTGACGGCCTGGGTGACTACAGAGCACCATGTTCCTTCTATTCTGGCAGAGGCTGGTGACTAAGCTGATTTCAGCAGACTCAAGGAACGTCTCCCTTCTCCCTGAAGAGTTCCACAAAAGCTCTGTCTACCAGCTGCAGGTGCGGGCAGCACCCCAGCCAGGCACTTCATTCAGGGGGACCTGGAGCGAGTGGAGTAGCCCTGTCATCTTTGAGACCCAGGCTGAGGGTAAGTGTGACAGTGGTGGGAAACTAAATCTGGTCCTACTATAGCTCTACAAGCCCCGAGGTTCCCAGCGTGGCTGGGAGATGTGTGCTCAGTTGTTCATCCCCAGATGCGGTCATTCATTATCGTGAGGAGAACTGCTGCTTCTGATGGTACATTTGACTCCTGGCCCTGAAGGGAGAGTCATTGCCCCATTTTACAGAAGAGAAAACTAAGGCTTAGAGATTTGCCCCATTTTACAGAAGAGAAAACTAAGGCTTAGAGAGATGACACCACTTGCCTGGGATGAGAATAAAATACCTGATATAATAATCAACTTGATAGAATAGAAAGAAGGGTTATTTTAGCGTATGGTTTCGGTCATGATTACAAGGCCCTGTTGCATTCGGGAGAGTGTATGACATTGTTTACCACATGGTAATCAGGAAGCAAACACAGAGGAAGGGCTGGGGTCCCAATATTCCCTTAGTGTGTCCATGATGACCTAACCTCCTCCCCTAAGGTCCTACCGCCGTCCAGTAACATCCAGGCTGGGACCTTACCTCTGATGCAGGAGCCGTTGGGGGAGGGGTCACTCCACAAACCCCCCAAGGGATCAGAGCTCAGCTTCCTCCCAGCCCTCCATCCCACTCCACCATCACAGTTCTAGACTTTTCTGTTGGACCCACGGTTTGCTCTCTGTGCAGAGCCCAAGGCCGGCTTGGACCTCCGCCTGTTGCTGCCCCTCCTGACTGTCTTGGTCCCTGTCCTGGTTGTCATGGGTCTGAAGAACAACCTTCCTTGGAGGTGAGGCCAGGGGCTCAGGGAGACAGGGGAGGGGTCAGCCTGGGCCACAGCCCCTGCAACCAAGGTCTATTCTGTCTGGGCAGGGGGCTTGGTGAGACTAGTGACACTAATGGACAGTGACACTCCTGCTCCAGCTCCGTGGCTGCCGTGTGACCTTGGCACAATGCAGAAACCCCCACTCTTCGTACGGGGAAAACTGAAGCACAGAGTAGTCAAACAACTTGCCCAAAGTCGCACGACTATGAAGTGACAACAGTGGGGTAGAAACTTCATGTTCTTTGAAGGGACCTTGACTGTGACCTTATCCAGAGAGTGAGCTTTGAGGCCCAAGGGGTGATCACTCGCCCCTCTCCATCCCTTAGACTTAGCTTAAGGGTAATCTGCGATCTGCTTGACTCACAGGGCTCCTGCTCTGCATGCTATGGAGAGAAAGCAGGCAGATGATTGAAAACAGAACGCACCACCTGGTGCAGGTGCTGCGGAAGGCTGTGTGCAGAGTCCCTTGATAAGCGACAGTGGGGCTCTGCACACACTCATTGTAATCCCCTCCGGTGTGACACTCAGACGGAGACAGAGAACCCGGAAGGGAGAGACCAGGGTGCCAGTTACAACTGATGGTGGCAGCATGGGCCTCTCCCAGCCCCCACCATGGTAGATGAGGAAGTCAATGCCTAGCCTGCACTAGATGGCAAAGGCAGGAACTTGAGAATATGCAAGAAGCTTGGGGGTGAGGGTGACTGCTGCTTCCGTTTTACTGGTGGGTGGGCAGGACGGTGTCTGGCAGTAGAAGCTGTTGCTTCTGCAGGAGTGATGCCAGACGTCCTACTTGCCGCCACAAGGCTTTACTCACCCTTTCTTTGCAGGTTATGGAAGAAGGTCTGGGCACCGGTTCCCAGCCCTGAGAATTTCTTCCAGCCCCTATACTGGGAACACAGAGGCAACTTCAAGGTGAGTCACCTTGGATGTATCTTTTGGAGAGCTTGCCCTTTGGGGGAGCCCTACCAACTCTCACCCTAACCCCAAGACCAATCTGTGAGCCCAGAGTATTCAGGCCCAACCTGACCTGGAACCAGTCCTCAGTTTCCCTATTCTGCAAGCGGCAGAATTGTTCTTAGACATAGACATTGTGATGTATTTCCAGTTTAGAGTTACTGTGGAAGTGGGCAAACTGGGTGGCCCCTGCAGGAACTGAGTGCCTGGGGTTTCCTGTGGTGGCCTTGATCTGTGGTAGGGAGCAAATCCTACCTGGGAAAGGCCTGCCCTACCCTCCAACACATCTGCCTCCCTGCCAAGTACAGCTGCCACTACTGTCATTTGAGTGTCTGCCCAGCACTGCTGAGCAAACCCAGCAGGGCAGGAGGCACCGAAGAGAGGATGTGGTAGCAGGATAGGAACAGCCACCTGCAGCAGACCACGGAGGTCAGACAGCAGGGCACCCAGGGACACCTGCTGAGCACCTGGCCTGTGGCTGCACTTTTCCAGTAGCTTCTACAGTGGGTTCCCAACAGTCCTGGCTCTCCAAGAGGAGGACCAGGCTTAGAGCGGCCAGTGGGCCTTTCAGAGCAGGGCAAAGGCATGCCCACACCCTTTCCTTAGCCCTGAAACTCAGCACTGCTGCACTGTGTGTGTGTGTGTTGCTGTTAGTTTTGCATGACATGCACTGTCAGGAAACAAACATTACCTCACTCAATCCTCAGGACACTGTCGTGGGGGGGTTCATTCTACAGATGAGGGAAACGAGACACACAGAGGGCAAGGGTCTAGCTCAAGGCCACACAGCTAAGAAGTGACTCCAGGTCAGGGGTAGGGAGACATTGTGATTCTGAGATGTTTTATGAGGTGACCTTTTCAGAACTGGGGTCTGTACCATGAATTCTAGTTGGTATTAGTAATAAAAACCCAGAGACCGATATTGAGGGTTAAAGCTGAAGATCAGACAAGCAAAGCAGCCAGCCACTAGAGTTCTCACCTCTACCGATGCTCAGACCAAAGGGACGATCCTGTCGTAAGACTGACTCCAGACTGCATCTGTCTCCACCAAACTTCACACTGCACTGGGCTCCTGTCTCCTCCTGCCTTATATTCCTCTCTAGTGTTGGAATTAAAGGCATGGGATTCCAAGTGCTGAGATCACCTTTGTGTGAGTTCCATTTCTCTTTTAGACTGGATCAATTTCGTGTAGCTCAGGGTGACCTTGAACTAACAGATCTGTCTACTTCTGTCTCCTGAGGATTGGGATTAAAGGTGGATACCGCCACTGCCGGGCCTCTATGACTAACTGGTGTGGCTAGCTTTGAACTCTGATCTTCAGGAAAGCTTTATTTGTTAAATCATAAACAAAATATCACCACAGAGGTCTTACTCTACAGGGTGATCTTTGCCAACCCAACCGAGACTCTCCTATCCTCAACAAGATGCTGGCAGGCAAGGGGCAAGAGGGTTTCAAGGCTTCAGGGCCAGACTCTCAGTACAGTGTCCCCCAAAGGCTTTTCTACATAACTTGCTGCTGATCTACTCCATCCATAAACATTTATGGTAAATCTACTGTGTGCCCTGTACTGAAGATACAGCAGTGAGCAGGGATTACTCCTGGCCAAATGTCCACTCTTGTGTGGATACACAGCAGAGCTGAAGTGTCAGGAGACAGGGTGTGCACCCAGCTGATGCTAGGCTGGAGCTCTGGCTACTAGAGTGAATATGAGGCCGAAGGCAGTCCATCCTAACTGCAGGTGGGGACACAGCTTTGAAAGAGAAGGACAGTATTAGGGGCCCCTTGGAAAGGATTCATCATGGTCCTGCCTGTCTCTCTCTGCTGGTGTTCCTCTGCTGTCCCTGTCTCATCACTGTGTCCCAGTGTCTGTGTCTTTGGCTCTGTCTGTTCACACCCAAGCATCTGCCCCAGCCTCTGACTATGTTTCTTTGTCATAGAAATGGGTGGCTACCCCTTTTACGGCCTCCAGCCTGGAGCTGGCACCACAGAATCCCACGGCAACCTCAGTTCTACAAGTGCATGACAGCTGTTCATCATCATACCCAGTCAAGGGAAAGAAGTTCCCGGGACCACCGGGTCTGGAAGAGCAGCTGGAGTGTGATGGGGTGTCCGAGCCTGGTCACTGGTACACAGGCCCCTTGGCAGCTGTCCCAGAGCATTCAGCCTACAGTAGCGAGGAGAGTGACCGGCCGTATGGTCTGGTGTCCATCGACACAGTGACTGTGGGGAATGCAGAGAGCCCATGTGCCTGGCCCTGTAGCTGCGGGGCGGATGATGGCTACCCAGCCCTGAACCTGGATGCTGGCCCAGAGTCTGGCCCTAATGCAGAAGACCTGCTCTTGGTCACAAACACCACTTTTCTGTCATGTGGCTGTGTCTCAGGTGGTGGCCTCAGGCTGGGAGGTTCCCCTGGCAGCCTCCTGAGCAGGTTGAGGCTGCCCCTTGCTGAGGAAAGGGACTGGACAGCAGGCCTACCCTGGAGAACTGGGTCCCCAGGAGGGGGCTCTGAGAGTGAAGCAGGCTCACCCCCCGGCCTGGACATGGACACTTTTGACAGCGGCTTTGCAGGCTCAGACTGTGGGAGTCCCGTGGAGAGTGATGAAGGCCCCCCTCGCAGCTATCTCCGCCAGTGGGTGGTCAGGACCCCTCCACCTGTGGACAGTGGAGCCCAGGCTAGCTAGCATTCCATAGCAAACTGTGATGAGAAGAGGCCAGAAGCCTGTAGTCTCTGGGTGGGCCTTTGAGCCTGACATGTACAGTGTGAATATGTAGGTGTGTGTGTGTACATGTGTGGCTTGAGTGTGTGTTAGCACATCCATATGTGAGAAATGCCTGTGCATGCCTTGTGTTCACTGTCATACCTGTGTGCGTCTGCCTGGGCTCACTGTGCGCATGCCTGAGTGCAGGTGTCTCTTAGACACGAGCCTCTGACTCCTCCCTTGCAGACATGTGAGGTGTCCAGAGTCAGTATCAAGAGACTGGTCCAGGTTGCTGCCCCGGGGCACTATCACCAAAGCCAGCCCTACCAGGTACCATATCCAGAACCTATGAAGTCCAGGCCGTTACTGCCTTCTCTCCTTGGGCAGGGGATACAGTAGTGTCCATTGGAGTGGGAAGGTTGGGGGGACCTAGGAGTGTAGTTGTGAACCTCAGCTTTGGTGCCTCTAGGCCATGCAACCTGAAGAAGTCACTCCTGAGCCCTGCTGACTTTGCTTTCTTGGCCATTAGAACAGAACGGTACAACTGCCCCATGCAGCTTGTGTCCCCTTTCACTTTCTTGACTTTTGTGGCCTTTAGGACCAGGTGCATGCCCTGAGGCAGGAGGATGAAAAAAGTCAGCCTACACCTATAGCCTGGGTATCCATGGAGAATCTGCCAAGGGCACTGAGTGGGTTTTTGGACTGAGATATACACAGCCTAGTCTCTCAGAAACAGTACCACCAACCAAGGATTTTTTGTTTTGTTTGTTTGGGGTTTTTTGTTGGTTTCTGTTTTTCCCTGGCTTATTAAAAAATTGCTCTAAGTACTCAGGGAATATTTATTAAGTATCAGGCATGGGGAGAGGGTACAGAGCACATTACCCACAGAACCCTCTGTGTGAGACCCACAGAGTGGACACAAAGGAGCCATCAAGAGGTATCTTCTAGGGTTTGGACAGATGGCTCAGTGGTCACTGGCTGCTCTTTCAGAGGACCCAGGTTCAATTCCCAGCACCTACATGGCAGCTCACAGTTCTAGGGAACCCAAAACCCATGGTAAAACACTAATACATATTTAAAAAAGAAAGAAGGAAAGAAAGGAAAAGAAAGGAAGGAAGGAAGCTTCTGGGCATTCTGTAGCAAGTACCTGCTCTTCCCCTGCCATGTTTGTCCTGGGGACTTAGGGAAGATCCCCTTGCACCCGGTGACTCCTGTGAGCGTGCTGTGTGAGGGAAGTTAAGAAGTATGGGGTGGTATTGGAACACTCCTTCCTGGACACCAGGACACTATAGGAGCTAGACAGTGCTAAGATTGCTTAGCTCTTGTCTTTTTCTTTCTCCTCCCTCCACCTCTTTTTCTCCCTCCTCCTTCCCTCCCTTATCCTTTGTCCTTTTCTTCTTGAATGGTCTGTTCTTCCTGCAGGGGTGCCCACCTGAGATGTGCAGTGGCATTTGTGAAACCAGACAAGGTTGAGGCAGCGGAGAGCCTGACCTGCTCTGGACACTGTGGGAAACCTCCATCCTGGCTGGGACTCCAGGATGCAGCATCTCCCCTCAATGGCTGGGGAGAGGCTGTCTATCTGTCCAGTCTGCAGAGCTGGACCAGAAAGCAATCAGCAGAAATCAGCCAAAAGTTCCTCAGTCTCATGTGTAAAACAGGGTCGGTGGTGGAGTCATGATGTCCTCAGCATCCGACTCAGGGATGGAAAGTTCTGGAACACTGGTAGTTTCAACAGTGAGACGGATGGAAAGTTCTGGAACACTGGTAGTTTCAACAGTGAGACTGCACCTAGGACCAGGGTGTGTGAGGCTCTCAGACCAGCAGAAACCACAGCTCCTTTCCTGCACGTGCATACAACCCCACCCTGCTGCACCCCCCAGACACTTAGACCAAAGTGTGCTGTGGTTTTCACATCCTCTGGGAACCACAGACTGCAGGTGTTCTTGGCAGCTCTCCAGGGAGCCAGTTCAGCCCCCCAGCCGGGAGAGTTCCTGACTGGGGTGTGGGCAGGAAGAACATTCAGGCCTGAGTGCTGGCCCTCCATTTTTAAAGGAACAAACATGGACGCAAAGCTGGAGGCAAGAGCTTGACTACTATGATTTAGTAGTGGGTGTACAGGAAGATGGTGAAGGGTTTGAGGAAGGACAGCTGGACGGAGAGACAGACACACACTGCACAAGAGTGGGTGGACCAGATGCAGTCTATGAAGCTGTCTGCCCCCACTTTCTACCCCAGCCCTGCACGCAACAGGTGCTTAATAAAGCAGTAAAGCCTGGATTGTAGCCCATCTTGTTTCCAGGATCTCAGGCTGTGAACTACATGACTCTAGACGTGGTTGGTGAGGGATGTCGTATGACTGGGAGGAGCTGGCCAGCCGCTGATGGGCCCCCGGGGCACTGCATGAGGGTAAGGCTTTAGGAAGGAGACAGTGTTTGTCAGACACTGGGAAATGAGTAGGAAGTGCATCTCTAGTCCAGCAGGGATGACCAAGAAACCAAGCGATTGAGGGCAGTGGGTCCCCATCACCTAAGACCAGTTAGAGTTGCTAGTAAGGTGCTCTGAAAGGATGGGGGCTTCACGTGACACTCCGCAAGAGTACATGGCTGTTGATGTCCAGGCTTTGCCCATCTTGGCTTTGAGGGGATGGGCTGCCCCTTGGGCAGGATGAGCTAGACCTGCCTGTGAGATCTGTCACCAAAGAAATCAAAGAGGCAAACCTCTCAGCCAAGACCCATGGGTGTCTGCCACTTGGCAGCTCTGGGGACAGCTCTAGACTCCTCCTCTCAACCAGTGGCACTGTGTAGTCAAGGCAGACATGTGACTCAAGCAGCTTCATGCTTTGCTCTGTAGCAGTGCTGGGGCTAGAACCCAGGACCTCACAGATCCTAGGTGGGTCTTCTGTGACTGGGCTAGCATCCATAGTCTCCTTTGTACTTTTCCTGTTTTGAGTCAGGGTCTAAGTTGCCTGGGCTAGTTTTGAAATCTTGATCCCCCTGTCGCAGCTTCTGAACCCCCAGGCCTACTGTTTCATTCTTTTCTCTGGGGATCCAGTTACTAGGAGGAGCCAGGCCTGGAGCTGCCGGAGTGGGGGCAGGGAGCAGGCAGAGAGAACAGCTGACCTGGGGTGCTGAGACCTGGGATCTCCTGGATCGCCATGCCTGATGGAGGCATGAGTGTAGTAGTCACTGTGAGCTTCACTGTTTCCAGCTTTTGGCCTTCTCCGCATGTGAACTTCCCAGCCCCATGGGGTCAGAGAAGGGGCAAGCAGAAACAGGAAGTGGTCCTTTCAGATGGAGTCCCAGTCTGGGAGTCAGAGTGCCTCCTAGTCCTCTTCCCGTGCCATGGGCATTGGTGGTGACTGAGCTGGCCACCTGTGGTTCTCTCTGCCTGAGGATTGAGTTTCCCTACCTGTGAGCCTGAAATCAACTCTGTCATTTGCTGCTGTAGAGGTGTGGCTGTTATGCAGTACACCCCACCTTGTCCTGACCCAGTGGACCAGTTGACACATCTCCAATTTGTGTAAGCTGGTTCAAGGTGGGTTCCTGTTGCTTGTGGCAGGAAGTGCTCACAATGAAAAGACAACTCCCATCCTAAGGAGCTCAGAGAGAGGAGAGGAGGGGCTGGGGAGTAGTTCACAGGCACAGTGCTTGCGTGGCATCCAAGCCCTAAGGGGCATGAAAAGGACCAGGGGCCATGGCAGAGTTGCTGAAGGTTGGTTTATGGCCTCACACTGAGTTGGCCTCTGACAGTAGGTGGCATTCCTCCACTGCCCCCCCAGATGGCTCTCAAAAGCTGCATCACCTCTGCCAGGACCCCAGCAACCTCACCCCAACATCCCCAGTGCATTCCCACTGTGACATGGTCTGGGGTCTCCAGGGTCTCATTCAGGAAGGAGACAAGCAGAAATAAAACCCACTTCTCCCCCTGGGAACAGAAGCCCTGGTGAAGGATCCCCAAGTCCACTGAGCCCTCTGCAAGCTGTGCTCCTCCTGGCCTCCCCAGTGGATGAAAAGGTCCTTGTGTCTGGGGCTGCAGCTGCCTAGACGTGGCTGCCACTGACCAGGCAGCACAGCCCACCATGGCCGACCCAGCCCCAGATACACCGCAGGAAGCAGGTGGATGACTCCCAGGGGAATGAAGGGACAGCCGGTGATAAGTCTCGCCTCCTTGTGGCTGCAGCTTTTCTTGCAGGTGGAACAAGAAGCATAGACTCCTGATGACAAACTGGAGAAGGGACATGCTCTGTGTAGTCATCCATATGCTCAAAGGTATAAAGGACAGGGTCACTTCGGCATGACGACTGTGGTGTGGGCCCTTATTGCCAGCTGCAGCACACCCCTGCCTGGCTTTGTTCCCTAACAAACAGTGCTAACAAGACCCATCTTGGGTTTTGCTACGTGTCTGTCCCTATCAGTGGAGCAAGGATTGAAGTTGCTGTGTGTCAGAGCCTGGATGGGGCAGGGCTCTGAACAGATGTTCAGCTATGTGAAAAGTGAATGGAGGAATGACAGAGGGGAGAAACTGCCCTCACAGGATCTGCAGAAGACACAGAAAGGGGGCAGAGTTCCTAGGAAGCTTGTAGAGGACAGAACTACTCACCCCTGCAGCCCCAACCAAGCGACAAGTTGAAGTCCTGCCCCCACTAATTTGGAAGTTTTTCTTTTCCAGCTTGATAACCCTAGGAACCTTTGCCTCATGCTCTTCAGTGAGCATGGTGGTGACACTCAATCCCTCCACCCCAGGGGCTGTGGAGAGGGCTCTGAGGGGGGCAGCCTGGTGGGAAAACCATCATGCCTGCCTTACCACTAGTTTCCAACTTGGCAGAAACTGTTTTAACCTCATAGGTCCTCAGTTTCCTCATACATGAAATAGACACATAAGACATGTGCTTCTCTGGACAGCTGTTACACTAGTTCTCTGTAGTGTCCTGGATGGTGCCTGATGTATATGCAGGCATGTGCTCTCTGTAACAGCATTTTTACAGGAAGTCACCCTGACCTAGGGAGGTTTCCCAGGTTGCTGCTGCCCCCTGCTGCTGAGTAGGAGTCATTGACGACTTTCCATGCAGAGAGAACAAGGGAGAGTTGTGGGTGGTAAGGCTAGAAGACAAAGTGGCAGTTTAATTCAGCAAGGCCTGAACTCCAGACACACACACACACACACACACACACACACACACACACACACACACACACACACTCACACACTCACTCACTCACTCACCACTCACTCACTCACTCACTCACTCACTCACTCATACAGCTGGACAATTGGTGCAGTCAGAGGCCAGGGGAAGGATGGATAGCCAGGGAGATCAGAAGACAGAGGCCCCTCCCTGAATGTCACATGCAGGCTGCTCTAGTCCTTGTAGAGCCAGCTGAGACGGAGAGGACTCTGACAAGAGTAGAGTGACTATGACCTGAGCAGGGCTTGGAGAGGGAAGGGGCTGAGCCCCCCCCCCCCCCGAGGGTGGAGGGTGGAGACCCTGCATGACACCTGCTCTGGGGGTGGGGCCTGGGAAGCCCTTGAGCATGCTCAGTGAAGGCAAGTGTAAACTCAGGCTCCAGTGCTGGAGGCTGCTCTCTTGTCTGAGTAGCTCCCACTGTCCCAGGGATGCTATGGGAGGAAAGTAAGCTACGTAAGCTACATAACGGGCATCTTTTACACCAAATGACACAAAGGCCAGTGTTTCCCAGGGTGTGCTCACATGTATGTAAATACAAAAGGCCTCAGAGTGTCCTGGAGAGGCAGCAGAGGGAGGCCTGAGCCATGAGCACAAGTTTTATGTCTATTTGTGTGTTGTTTACCTAAAGAAATGAAAGAAGGAATTAAGAGGGCCAGACTGTAGGTAGACAGGGAGTTGAGTGCAAGGACAAGGACGTGTTCTACATCACCAGTGTGGCAGGCCAGGTGGCCCAGTGCCACTTCCCACAGTCCTTGGTGAGAAGTGACAAGGTCAGGTGAGGCAAGGAGCCATCAGCCAGCCCAGCATTGCTCTAGGGGCGGAGATACACAGCAGCCCTGTTTGTGAAATCTTTGTTAATGGTTGCTTACTGTTTCTTCTTTCGGAACCGGAAGTTCTCAGCAGCCCAGCGGTTCCCTGGTTTCTAGGAGGCCTCTTGAATCACCAGTCTGCTGTGGGTTCTGGAGATCTTTGTGCAGAGTTTGGAAAGGCTGCTGCTACCTAACTATTTAGTGGGTAGTTCGTGGATGAACAGGCAGGTGGATGGATGACTGGTTAGGCAGACAGATGCATAATGAATTAGTATAGCAGGAACTGGAGGCTTCAACAAAGAAGGGAGGGGCTTTGGGAGCGAACATTCAAATAAGCCTTGCATCTGCTTGAGTGTGCCTTGAAACCCCAAGTGCCTTCCCCAGACATGCTCCCCAAATGGTCCATGTAGGAGACCCTGGGGAAGAGGGGTGCTGCTGAGCTCTGTACCCCATGCTTGGTGCCCTTCAGCTCCAGGCCTCCCATCTCAGCTGAGACCTGGGTGGAAGGCAGAACTTGGCTGCTGGCCTCTGGCCGAGGGTGCAGCATTAACAGGCAGGATCTGCCCCTGAGCACAGCACTGTCACGGCCCCACTGTTCCCCAGAACGTCACAGAAGTCAGTTTTACACAGTTGCAGCATGTCTATGCTGGGCTCTCGACCTTGGGTCCATCCTCACCTCTTTTCACAGGGGTGTGGCTTACAGTGACATGGAGGATGAGACAGCTGGGTGAGGCCATCAAGTGCCATGCCTCTTAAATAGGCAGGAAGGGTGGACAGTGAGGGGTTCAGGATTTCAGAGGCTCAGACCAGCTGAGGAGAGTGGTCTCAGGTGCTCCTGACTGTCATAATGAAGGCAAGTCTTGCTGCTAGGACTTGCTTGCATTAAAAAAAAAAATGAAATTTTGTTTTCTTTAACCCATAAGGTGAAAACTCAAAATTCTTAACTGTTGCCAACAAGTTAAACGTCTTGTTAGAGAACTTGAAGGAACCAGATCTTCCCAGGCAGGGCCAGGAGCTGCCCTGTGGAGCGGCAGGCCTAGGACCTGCTGAAGGATGCCATGCTGCCCCTTTTCCCAGGGTCAATGCTTAACTCCGTTTCCAGGATCCACCAACTTGGGCAGCCGCAATTGACTGGGCCATAGCTGCAAATAGGGGAATCTCTTGGGGAACAATGATCATTTGGCAAATACACAAACTAATGCATTTGATCTCACTTTAATTAAAAAATAAATAAATACATGCCAGGGGCTTGTATCTAATGAGAAAAGAGCAAAATAAAAC